TTATTATTATTATTATTATTTTTTTTTTAACCTGGGTGCAGCATTTAGGTTTTGCTCCAGGTTGACTAACATTAATCTTGGCTAATTTGATGGTAGTTCCCAAACTATAGTTCCTGAAAGAACACCAAGCCCTCAGTTTTCTCCTGTTGTCATGGCTAATATGTTCCTTGCTTTCCAAATTTCCCTTGCATTTTTCAGGTTTGTCAATGAGATAGGAACCAATCTCCTCACCGCTTGTGCTTTAGAACAATGAAACACCATATGTGATGTAGCACTCAGAATAACTCGATGGACCGACCTGAGTAGTTAGATCGGGTACGACCGGTCCAAAAGAGCTTTAGCTCGATTACTACTATTTGAAGATATATGGTATTAGTTAAATACATATAAAGATTTAGGAAACATTTCTAACAGATATCCAAGTAAGTTCGTGTATGTCTAAAATTTGATTGTAAAGGATTAGACTACTTGGACCTTGGTTATTAAGAAAACTCATTGTCGGAAGAGTAAGTCACCAAATTCCTTATAAATAAAGATAAAGGTTCAATTTCTAACTCCTTATAAATAAAGACTCCATGGACCTTGGTGAGTATCTGCTTTCTTGCAAACTTCTTCTTCTTTCTGCCTTTGTAGGGCCTAGAAGGTCCAGCATGCTCGACGACTAGCACCTGAGAACTCTGAGTGAACAAGGCTTCTTCCGACTGAAGTTTAACCAACAATTCCGGAAGAGCCATATGCATCTTGTGCATGTCGTAGTTCAACCATAACTGATTCAAAGCTCTTCGGCAGAGACTAGAGCATGATATCAACCTGGGTTTCCCCGTCAATAAAACCTCCCTGAACTTCAAGCTCATTGAGTTGCGCCATAACCCTTAGGGTGTGCTTCCTCACGGGTGTGCCCTCGACCATGCGTGTGTTCATCAGAGTGCTCAAGGCTTCCTGCCTAGCTGCCCTAGGTTGATGCCTAAACAGTTCCCTGAGATTGAGAAACATATATGTCGCGGTGCCCATAAACTGATACTGATGTTGAACAACATTTTACATAGATGCCAGAATGTAACACTTCGCCATCTCATCAGCATTCTTCCACTTGGCATATGCTCTTCTCTTGATCTAGGGCATCGTCTGTGGGCACATCCGGGAAAGCCTCAGTGATTACATACTTATACCCCTTAGCAGTCAACACAATGTCTAAGTTTCTCATCCAATCCGTATCTGGCAGCAAACTGCCTACGAGTATGTCTGCAATTACACAGTACCACGTGTCCCGTCAACTGCGGGTGCGTGGGGTAGCCCGCCTCGTCTCATCGAGAGATATTTGCGTTTACCGGGTCCAACGAACAATTACATAATATAAATTACATACATTGATCCTATGGCCCACGCAGGGGTCGTACATGAATGATCTAGTAAAGAATTTAAACTATGCGGTGTTCCACCGCGCGAATAAATTATTACAAACATTCACCAAGCCAAAAAACCATCGACATATACAAGACTTGTAAAACGACATACATGAATTAAAAACAAACATTCATACGGACCATAATAGTCGGATTTAAGAATACCTTCAAACAACACTCATTTGCAATTCTAATTTATTATGCGCTGCGCCCGTACACAATTAATTCACATATATTACGCAATTCCTAATTCGAATAGTGCACAAGGACGACTTAGTCTGGGCTCTGATACCAGTTGTTGGGTTCTATTAGGAACGTCAACTATGTGCTCAATCAAATCTATTGAATAATAAATCCTAACGTAGCGGAACTTATAGTTAGGATTAGGACTTACGGTTTAAAAAAAATTTCCAACTTTGAGATGTTTCTGATTAGTACCCATATGAATATTACTCACACTGGTTTAGTTTCTTCTCCCTCTTTACACCTTCCTGACACATACTGCATTCCTGACTTGGCCTTGAATCTTATTTCTGTTGGTCAATTAGTTGAACAAGGCCTTAATGTTATATTTTCATCTTCTCGTGTCCAGGTTCAGAATACGCAGACGAGTCGGCTTCTCAGGATGGGTCGCAAGATGGTCCGGTTATTTGAGCTTGAATCTCTTCATATCCCTCGTTCTTCCTCATTTTCTAATCCTGTCACCGATAATAAGTCCAGCTTTCAGTGGCATCTTCGCCTTGGGCATGCATCTTCAAATAAAGTTCGTTCTTTATATAATAAAGGTCTTTTAGGTCCAGGTCATTTTGAGTCTTTTAGTTGTCTTCCTTGTGAACTTGGGAAATACTCGACTCTTTCTTTTCTGAGAATTTGTCAATTGCTGATAAATCTTTTGGTTTGGTACATTCTGATATTTGGGATCCTTCTACGGTTGCTTCTATGAATAGTTTTTGCTACTTTGTTATTTTTGTTGATGATTTTTCTCGTTTTACCTGGATATATTTTCTCAAACATCGTTCTTAGTTGCCCACCATGTATATTAGATTTGCTAGAATGATTCACACTCAATTTTCTTGTCCTATAAATGTCTTGCGTACTGAGAATTTCCTTGAGTACAAAGATTCTACCTTTTTACAATTTCTTTCTGATCAGGGCACAATAGTTCAGCGTTCATGTCCTTATACTTCTCAACAAAATGGACGAGCTGAACGTAAGCATCGTCACATTCTTGATACTGTTCGTGCTCTTCTCCTTTTTGCTTAGTGTCCTGATCGTTTCTGGGGTGAGGCAGCCTTGACTGCTATTTATGCTATCAATCGATTACCCTCATCAGTTCTTCAAGATATCAGTCCTTTTGAGAGGTTGTACGGTCAGTCGCCTGATCACACCCTTTTGGTTGTGTTTGTTTTGTTCTTCTCCAATTCCATGAGCGGACTAAATTAGAACCTCGAGCTCGTATGTGTTGTTTTTTGGGTTATGGAGTATAACACAAAGGGTTTAGGTGTTGGGATCCTATTGCTAATCGGTTGTGTATTTCGCGTCACGTTTCCTTTTGGGTGCATACTACTTTTTCTTCTTTGTCTAAATTTCACATTCCCTTCGATTCGTCGTCCCCTTTCTTCATGTCCATTACTTCAGATCTCTTTCCAGATACTTGTCCCGACTCACAGCTCATTGACACGTCTGTCATGCCTCCGTCTTCTGAAGTTGCTCCACCTGCGCATCCTGAACCAACGATTTTTGTCGAGTCCTCTTCTGATTCTGTCCCTTCGCTCACCATTGATCACCGACGATCAACCCGTGTAAGTCGTTCCCCTTCTCACTTACTTGACTATCATTGTTATTCGACCATAGTACCTTATCATGAGCCTAGATCTTTTCGTGAGGCGAGTGCTGATCCATTATGGCAACAAGCTATGGCTGAGGAATTGCAGGCACTAGAGAAGACTCATACTTGGGATTTGGTGGATCTACCTGCTGGAAAGACACCCATCGGATGCAAATGGGTTTATAAGATCAAGGCAAATTTAGATGGATCTATTGAGCGCTACAAAGCTCGTCTGGTTGCTAAGGGGTACTCACAGGAGTACGACGTCGATTATGAAGAGACTTCTGCACCAGTTGCTCGTCGTACTACTCTTCGGTGTTTACTTGCTGTTGCTGATGTTCATCGATGGTCTTTTCTACGGTTAGATGTCAAGAATGCCTTCTTGCACAGTGCCTTAAATGAGGAAGTTTACATGACTCCTCCTCTGGGTTTCTTGTCCTCGGGAAGGTTTGTCGTCTACGTCGAGCTTTTTATGGTTTGAAATAAGCGGCTCGTGCCTGGTATGCCACGTTCAGTTCTGCATTGTTTCAGTTTGGTTTCACTACGAGTGATCACGATTCCGATTTGTTTCTTCGGCACTCCTCCTCCGGGATTATTATTTTGCTGCTCTATGTTGACGATATGATCATCACGAGAGATGATGTTACCGGTATTTCCGATTTACAGGACTATATTCATCAGCGTTTTGAGATGAAGAGTTTGGTTCAGCTTCACTATTTTTTGGGTCTTGAGATTTCTGATTTCTCTAATGGCTTCTATTTGTCTCAAGCCAAGTAGGCCTTTGATCTTCTTGCTCGGGCCGGTCTCACTGATTGTCAGACAGCTTCCTCACCTCTTGATTATGATGTTCGTCTTACTCCACTGGATGGCTCTCTTCTTGAGGATCCTACGTTTTATCATCAACTTGTTGGAAGGTTGATATATTTGACTATCACTCGGCCTGATATAGCTCATGTTGTTCATATTGTGAGTCAGTTTATGGCTACTCCCAGAACCACACACCATTCTGCTGTGTTGCACATTCTTCGTTATGTGAAAGGCACTCTATTGCATGGTTTACACTTCTCGGCCCATTCTTCCTTGACGCTTAGCGGTTATTCTGATGCAGATTAGGCTGGAGATCCTACTGATCGTCGTTCTATTATTGGGTACTGCTTCTTTCTAGGTGATTCGCTCGTCTCTTGGTGCAGTAAGAAGCAAACATTAGTTTCCAGATCGATTGTTGAGTCTAAGTATCGTACTCTTGCTGATTCCACCTCAGAGTTATTTTGGCTGCGTCGACTACTTGCTGATCTTGGTGCACCTCAGTCGTCATCTACTATTTTACATTGTGATAGTCAGAGTGCTATAAAGATGTCTCATAATGATACCTTTCTTGAGCACACCAAGCATATTGAGATTGATTGTCACTTCATTCGACAGCATGTTGCACATGGGACTG